ATCGGTTTCACTTCCAGGCCTTCTTTAAAGGTGGATTCATCCAAACTGTAATTCAAACTAATGTTGATTGGAGATAATTTATCTCGGAATTCAGTTTCATCCTAGGGAAGATAATCAGAAACTCAAGAGAGGGTCCGTGAAATAGCTGCAAGATGTCAGTGTTTGAAAGGCAGGGAATGCTGGACCATACTCAATGAAAGTGAATGATGAAACAATTATCTTTCAGCAGACTTAGATACTCTCTGATTTATGTAGTATATGGTAGCCAGCATAATTAATATATGTTCAGTGATGAAATCACTTAGAGCTATGGCTTCATTGAAATATGTTTCTGGAGGCAATCTTTGGGTACTCCAGAACTTCAGTGATTCACACGGTATCGGTCAAGTTGCAAAGTAAAAAAATACGCTTATTTACCATAAGTGTCACAAAAGCCATAAGAATTTGAATTTTTGTTTTCATGAGGCTGCCGGGATTTATGAGTCTCTTGGGCCCAGAGGAAGAAAACATTTTGATTCCCTTTCTCTCTTGTCATCTTTTTAAAGCCTTGCTTGCGTGAACTCCAAAACACCTTCAGTACATTGGAAAGAAACAGAACTCCTCTTGGGGGGAGGGGTCAGTTCCAAGCAGCAGGCACTACGCAAGCAGACTGCACGCTACCCTTCAGCTGTGTGCCATCATAAGATGCATAATAAGATACAAAAGGTCATCATAAGATGCATAATTAGACACAAGGCCATAAGAAAAAGCAAGGTCATGGAGACAACTTTTCATTCTCAAATGTGCTATGAACCTGTGGTCTTTCTTGGGGTTTTCCTTGCTATGTCCCTTAAAGGAGGAGAGAAAAAGATGACAAATTATTACAACCTCACAACTGGCAAAGTGAGGGAGGAGGAGGTTAGAAATGAAAACCCTCTGAGTTGAGTGCCATTACAAAGATTTTGTTCAACACAAAAGGAAGACTTAGAAATTCACAGCAACACATCGTTAGGTTAGTTGACGTCAGGGTCAAGAAGAGAGTGTTTGACCTTAAAATAAAGTTTCCTGCTATGAAAATAAAAATAGACACATGGGGATCTATGCAGACAAACATGATGATGAAATGGAGAAAAACGGTTGGAATTTGGATATGAATGTCAGAGGACAGAAAAGTTGTTTCTGGAACACTTACTCGAAGGTAAACAAGAAAGTCCTGGCACTGGAGGAATTTCTGCCGCTTTATCAAAAGAGGGAAGACTCGATGGGACTGATGATTATCAAGGAAGAGTGTTCGTTTAATGGCTCCTTTTTGTTTCAGGGAATCTAATTGCACCTCAGCCATCAGGGCTAAATGACAGAAATAAAGTAAACATAATTAGGAGAGAAAAAGTATTCAATTTACCAGTGCTCTATCAGAAAGATGACTTACTGTTTCAAGTTGTTTATTCAGGAAACATAGTTTTTTCATAGTTGAGATCAAACATGACACATAGGCTGAAAAAATTTTATAGACGACTCTCCAGACTAAAATTGTTTTGCAATGGTTTTACACAAATTGCCATTCTGCTCTTCATTATACTATAGATAATAGTATATCCAGTCATTGGAGTGATATTTTTGTAGAAGGTTCCATATACGTAATAGAAACTTTTTTAAAGGACTCTTTTTAAAAGTTTTATATTGTCTTTGCGGACACATGGTTACTGTTCAATTTTCTTAGTATAGTATAGGAGTGTAAAAATGAAAACATGCTCACCTATTGTGTTTGAAATGCTCTGGCCTGCTACAGATGCACATACGCTTAAAGAAAAGCTATGGAAAAAATAGTCAATAATGTATTGGTTAATTAAGTTTTGAAAATGAAGTTGAAATCTTCTTTGACCTTATCTCAGATAAAACGAACCTACCATTTTACCTTCTATTCTTCTAATTATACACACACATATATACACACACACATACAAAGGGGGGACCCCCAAAAACCCCAGAATTTATTTATTTAAAAATAATGTATTTATTCTTACATGTTTAAACTTCAGTCACCTTCAAAATACTCTCCATTTGATGT